GGGGGGGGGTTTGAAGTAGTTTTCAGGCCGGCGACCTCCGCCATACGTGACCCGCGATCTTTCACCGCGAGCTGGAAACACAACGATGCAATTTTGTTCACAATTAAAGTCCTTTGCCGTTCTGTGAATGGTTCCGGCACAGCCGGCAAAGGAAAGTCCTCGCTCCACCGCCGAGCGATCCCAGAACAAGACAACAAAACTTCAATGTGACAACCGAAAACAAACGTGCGCACCGACCTTCCGGGACGCTCTCCGGTCCTCCCGTCTGTGATCGGTCCTCCCGTGTGATCAGTCCTCCCGTCTGTGATGAGTCCTCCCATGTGCCCGGTCCTCCCGTCTGTGATCAGTCCTCCCGTGTGATCAGTCCTCCCGTCTGTGATGAGTCCTCCCATGTGCCCGGTCCTCCCGTCTGTGATCAGTCCTCCCGTGTGACTGGTCCTCCCGTCTGTGATCAGTCCTCCCGTGTGCCCGGTCCTCCCATCTGTGATCAGTCCTCCCATGTGACCGGTCCTCCCGTCTGTGATCAGTCCTCCCGTGTGACTGGTCCTCCCGTCTGTGATCAGTCCTCCCGTGTGCCCGGTCCTCCCCTCTGTGATCAGTCCTCCCGTGTGACTGGTCCTCCCGTCTGTGATCGGTCCTCCCGTGTGACTGGTCCTCCCGTGTGATCGGTCCTCCCGTGTGCCTCGGGTGCCCGGGCCCCCCGTCTGTGCTCGGTCCTCCCATGTGACCGGTCTTCCCGTGTGACTGGTCCTCCCGTGTGATCGGTCCTCCCGTGTGACCGGTCCTCCTGTGTGATCGGTCCTCCCGTGTGATCGGTCCTCCCTGCCGTGTGACCGGTCCTCCCGTGTGACCGGTCCTCCCATGTGATCGCTCCTCTCAATGTCACACAATTCAGTGGTTGCCGTATCCCTGACCGCTGCCGCGCTCTCCGGCTCACTTCTTACGGACTCCCCCGGACTACCTGGTGCTGCTCGTCATTATTTAGTTTGGCCGAAGGATCTAACTTTATTCTAATGTGTTCTAAGTTTCTGAGAGAAAGCCACTTTCACTCTCTCTGTTTATCGTAGTGAGTTAGTCAGCTAGACCAGTGGTCCCCCCAACCCCCGGGCCCGGTCCGTGGATCAAATGGTACCGGGCCGCCCGAGGAACATTACGTGATTTCCATTTTATTTACTGCGGTGTGTTTCTCTCGGGTTTGTCCGACTTTTCAGGACGAGAGGTCGACCGGGCCAGCTGAGAGACGTCACCTAAAGCCGCACCAATACCGCGCATGCGCAAAATATGGTGATGCCGGGGCGGTTTTAGGTGACGCCTGGAGCTGAGCGGCTGCGAGCGGCAGTGGCGTCGTAGCTTTGGTAAAGAGAAGGTGTGTATTAGACACGCGCACTGCCAAAAAAATTCGTTTCGTTTTAAATTGGGATTTGTGTTATTTCGTTTTTCGGGTGCGAAAGTCGATTCGGAATTCGGATTGGGACGAAATTCGGTAGCGTTAGTTCGTTCGAACGTTCGTTTCGTTTTCTGTTCTTATTCGTTTCGTTCGTTGGAGCAAAGCGACGTCAGAGAAGGAGAAAAATATTTTTTCCCCCTTAAAATGTCACCAACGAAACGAATAAGAACCGAAAACGAAACGAACGTTCGAACTAACGCTACCGAATTTCGTCCGAATCCGAATTGACTTTCGCACCCGAATCCCGATAAACGAAATAACACAAATCCCAATTTAAAACGAAACGAAACGAATTTTTTGGCAGTGCGCGTGTCTATTGTACTTGAATACTGCACTTAGAGTGTCCGCCTCCTTTCTCCATTTGTATCCCTTGTGAGGTACCTATTAGACACGCGCACTGCCAAAAAAATTCGTTTCGTTTTAAATTGGGATTTGTGTTATTTCGTTTTTCGTGATTCGGGTGCGAAAGTCAATTCGGATTCGGACGAAATTCGGTAGCGTTAGTTCGAACGTTCGTTTCGTGGTCGTTTCTTATTCGTTTCGTTGGTGACATTTGAGGGGGGAAAAATATTTTTCTCCTTCTCTGACGTCGCTTTGCTCCAACGAACGAAACGAATAAGAAACGACCACGAAACGAACGTTCGAACTGCCGCTGCCGAATGTGGCAAACGGAAATTGGGATTCGTTTGCATTCGTTACGTCTGTCATTCGGAATTCGGATACGTCCGAACGTCTGAAAATTCGTCCGAATTTCGTTTCGGAACGAAACGCGCCTAGTGCGCATCGCTCTTCTCTCTGGTCACCGGTCCCTACTCATGTTTAGCAGTGCTTGGTGTATATTGTGTTTTGCTCAAATTTAACCCGCAAATTAGCAACAATGAGTACGAAACAGACGTCGTTAGCAAGTTTCCTCGGGAAAAAAGAAAAGGCCGGGTGAGGAGGCAGGAGAAGGGCCTTCAACATCAAAGAAACATGTAACAGACAATACCACGAGTCCTTCGTGACTGACGACGCGCAGTGTACGTCGCCGGCATTGGGGGCTGTTTAAACTTGTAGAGCCGACTGTCGCCGGACACCCCCGCCGTGCTTCCCGGGCTCCGTTGCCCCTCCTACGGGCCCGGCGATCTTTGTGTCCGCGGGGAGCTGGGG